TTATGATTTGGCCTTAGACTAAGAATAGCTAAGAGCATTATTATGATCTGGCCTTAGACTAAGAATAGCTAAGAGCGTTGTTATGATCTGGCCTTAGATTAAGAATAATTTAAGAGCACTATTGAAATAGTATCTGAATTGAATAAAATGTGTTGATATGAACTGAATAATATCAAAACTGTGAATGTCTGAAACGAACATTGTGTGCATGATATCAAAAGATTTGATTATGAATTTAGATTCACTTTATATGGATGTTCGACCCATTAGATATGCTTACTCAGCTTTACCGCTGAGCGTGTAGTGTGTTTTATTTGCTACACGCAGGTAAACACAACGATTAATGTGATCCTGGCGGCAGATGGGGCGAGATTATCAGGATGGATGTGACAAGTTTGAAATGATTTATGATATGTCAAAATTAAATTCGCTTCCGCAATATTGTTGAATACTCTGTACTGTATGTGTTATGAAAAATATTATTGTTATAAATAAAAGTGTTTGAAAATTTTTAAATTTTTACGATTATCAAGTTAAATACTTTAGTCCCAAAGGGGCTGCAGACCTGGATGGATTAGGGTGTTACAATTTGGTATCGGAGCAAATGGTTTTAAAACCGATCTTCGGATCAAAATTTGAATTAAAAAAAATGTGTCACTCAGATCCACGACTCTCACATCCCTCTGCTCCAGGAAAGGTATGAGAATTTATTAGATAAATATTGACTTTGTTAAAATTCTCACTAGATAATAATTGTTAGTAGTGAAATTATATTGAACATAGACTCAAGTAGATTTTTCGTACTCGGTGAAGAGACGAAAGAATATAAAAAAAATGTGATATGTTATCAACGTACTTATCATATTGCGATTGACGAAGCTGATCTATCTCGCAAAGTCGCATAGAAGTGAGACGACTATGAAGAAACGCCTAATGTTGAATAACATTCGCAAAGCTGCTGTCAAAGATCCTCATGTGGACTGAAGATGATCGGATTGCTGATTTAAACACGAACGTTTAGAATCAATAAACTCTGTTGTTTAAAAGTATCCCATTCTGATGTCTAACTCATTACGACGTAAATATGCGATTATATTATACGAATCAAAATCGTTCGTTCAGCAACAATTCCTTGCAAAACTTTGTTGAAATATCCTACAGGGAAATTGACGTTATCCTTATCTCGTATCTATGACTTATTTGATCAGCTTAGAGAATCCATTGTGCTCTCTAATATTGACTTACGGTCAAAGATACTATCACATCTCTGTTAGGACAGACAAACTGACGATCAAGAATTGCTACCCTTTACTATGTATTGACAACTTGTTCGGTGAAATTCAAAGGAACCTACTCGCTAGAAGCTATGGATAGCTCAATCTTGTTGAATGAAGTGACACATTGTTATGACACAAATAGTGACTTAAACATCGATATAGTCTGAATAAATATCCGTTGTCAACTCGCCTATTCAAGTAGAGAATTCTAATGAAGAAATTTCTATTATTGTAGAATGAGTCAAGAAACCGCTCACAATCAAAGTAATCAAGTGCCAAGTGATGGGCACGAAAATGTTCATACTGAAGCATTTAGTTTCACACCTCCTATTCAAATTGAACAAGTGAACTCACATCATGTTCCCCAAAACGATCAAAATATTGGAGGTCAACCTGACGCTGTGCTACCTACCTTAATGGTAAACTTCTTGCAACAAATGACCAATGCCCCTGTGTTTCAACCACCTCCACCACCACCTCGTTTGATCACTTTCAAAACCCCGAAAGATAATGGTGCTGAGGAGTTTCTGGGAGATCTAACTGCCGAACCCCAAATTGCTCTTGAATGGATCGAGCAGACCGCTCGTGTACTACAAAATTTGAACATACCTCTCGTTGATCATCCAAAATTTGCATCTCAATTTCTCCGCAAAGAAGCCTATGAATGGTGGAAACGTACTGACGAAAATCCAAACACACCCAAACCTTGGACTTGGGAATTCTTCGATTGGGCGTTCAAGAAGGAATATATCCCAGCCCGATTTCGTGAAGAGAAGCGTGCCAAATTTATTCAATTGAAGCAAGGAGATATGACACTCCCTAAATACCGACAAAAATTTGTCCACCTCGCTCAATTTGCACCCACACTGGTGAGCACAGCGGCTGACCGCATTGAGGAGTTTCGCAAAAGACTTCGACCTGATCTCAGGCCGCATTTATCTACTATTCAAACTATGTATTTCATTGAGGCATATGACCTAATCTCTAAAGCCGATAAAGATCTAAGTCATTACTATGAAAGTCTGAAGACTGAGGTTGTCAATTTAAATGAACGACCAAATACAAGTGGGAAGAGATCCCTGCAAGAAATTGATAGTGCATTACACTCGAAAAAGGGAAAATCAATGACAATTCAATTGACGTCATCCATGAACAAAATGAGAGTATGGAAACATCCAAAGTGTAACGTTTGTAAAAGACACCATCCAGGAGATTGCTGGCGTGCGCAAGGATTATGTCTAAGTTGTGGTAAACCTGGACATTTCCAAACACGAATGTCCTTCTAACCCTAAATCATATTCAGTTACTTCTGTCCAAAATCAACCTGTTCGCTCAGGAACAAGTCAACGTTCTAAAACACGAAACATTTCAAAGAATCCAACCCAAGGATGATACTCTGTGAAGATCCTAGGGTGCTACAAGGGCTCGAGGATATATTGAATAATGTAGAAACCTTATGTAAACAAGAAATTATCTTTCAATTTGTATCTCAAGAATATTCATATTTTCTTGAACCTACGTATGTTGAAACCATTGTATAATGAAATCTTTTTGACCCATATTGAGAAAATGTTGATATTTAGATGATGCGTTCTGATGTTGAAAATAGATATTTTTCTGACTTGCACTGGCCATGCAACTTAGAATAATATTTATGGTTAACTCATAATGTTCATGGACAATATTATTTCCAACATAAATTCAACTGAAATTAAATAAAGTAATATTACTAATGCAACTCTATGTCCAATGCCTCAGGATTTACAAACTCGTCATAACTAGCCCCAAGACCCGGAAAAGCTTTAGCAAACGCTAGCTTGTCTAAAAGCTCATCAATAAAGAAAGAAGAGATGAAAAGTTTTCTCTGACTGGAAGCCATGAAGTTCTGCCTCACCACGTCATCTACAAATTTGATTAGGTTATTAAAATAACCGTCAATGTTCGAGAGACCAATGGGTTTATTGTGCAACCCTTCAGATGCCCACGAAATTAAGGTGAACAAACCTTCCATAGTATCAATTCCTCCGGAAAGTATGATGAAAGCCTCCACCACATGATTCATCTCGAAATACTTGTAGTAATTGCTGGAAACGGTGTACTCTACACCGTATGTAGGACCACAGACCTGTCGTGCTGCTATGTACCCTAGTATGAAGCGTCTAACTATACCACCATTGGTATAGACTGTTGAAGCAACAGCTCCTTGAAGGCCAATGTTGCCTCCTCCATAGGTAAGTCTAATTTTTTGCATTACCAATTCCCTTCATAAATCCACCACCGTAGCCATGAACTTTGGATTTCTACCAAGAGCATTACTACCAAGTAGACCAACGAATTATATGGTGTAAGGAAAAGTTCGAGAAGTTCCTTCCATAATATGAGAATGTGAGGTACTCTTGCCACAATCGTGATATATATAGGATCTGAAAACCTGACCTTTGAAAAGGGGTAGTTATCCTGAGTCGAAATTTGTACAACAAAGATGGATTCGAATTTCCTACTAACAATAACATACTCGCTAATACTACAGTCTGCTTACGATATAACATATTGAGACTCACGAACAGTTAGATTCACTGTCCTGAAGTACGTTCAAATTCGAGACGAAAAGTCAAATTGGCTATTGACCTAAGACAACAACCCCTTGAGTAATTGAAAGACTACGTTACGACGTATGAATTGAAACAACCTCCAATTGTGCTTATCATAGACCATTCAAGAGTATTGAAGAAATTTTCAATCGATTCTGTTTACCAAGACGTTTAGATAAGACTCGTAACTGAACGAAGTTATGTATGTCAAGTATGCAATACTACACACTATGAAGGAACTTTTGTCATCAAAGGATCAGTGGAGACCTTACTTAATCGAAAATTGCTAATCTCTCGAAGATTGAACGAGTTTGGTGAAATCAATGACTTGAGAATACGTATCCGAAAGATAGCGACATAACCATATGAATATGAAATGGTCATGATCAGTGAGATCATTAAAAAACGTTGAACGTTGAACCTAAGAAGAATTTCGAGGATGAAATTCCTTTTAAGGGGGGGGGGAAAAGTAACGCCCTAAAACATACCCTAGAATTATTAATGAATAAATAATAAATTAATCACAATTGTTTTGATTAAAATAAATTATTGTTGGGCTTTGGGTCGATATGAAATTTCTTTTGACATCTAATATCAAAATCTGGATAAGTCTCATAGAGATAAATCTAATATGTGGACTATTTTTGTGGTCTTGATTGGGAACCTGAGTACAGACCCAAATCAAAAGTAAATAAAGAGTAAATTCATAACCGATATGAATTTTTATGATCATTATAAAAATGATTTACCATAATAAAAATGATGTTTTTAACAACTAAAAATGTTATGTGTTGCATGACGGTAAGTTCGGGTGTTAACACTCGAAGCTAGGCCGCTATTTGTTATCAATTGTTGTGTTAATTGATGATTATGATAAATGAAAATTATGGATGATTATGAGTATTGAACCTACTGATTAAAATAAGTATTTATGATTGAATCATGAATAAAATGAATACATTAATAATTATGAAATGATTTGTAGTGTTAAGGATATCTAGAAGAACTCTAAGGTATTCACAACAACAACAACAACAACAACCCATGTGAATCCCACAACACTAGGGTCTGGGGAGGGTGTGTGTACGCAGACCTTGCCCCTACTCGGAAGTAGGGAGGCTGTTTCCAAGAGACCCTCGGCTCCACTTGCACAAAAATATGGAAGGGAACACAGTATAACACAGATAAAGTACCAAGTACAAGCAACACGTACAAGCAATAGCAGAAGATTCCTAACAAATACAACACACCACAAAACAAC